GCTCCTCTGATGCTGCCTGGCCTGCTGTGTTCATCCACCTCCACACCAGCATATCCTCTTGTTCCTCTTTTTCCCATGGTCCTTTTCCTTTCAGTCTCTGAGGCCGTTCATCTCCACCATTCCCTGGGGTCATGGGCTGTCTGAAAACTCTCTGGCTAAAGCCAAGGAGATATTTTGGGTCATGTTGGGGATGCTGCAGCCACGATGCACGCAGCAAGATCCCACCAGCAGCCATGAGACAATTGGCTTCAGTTAGCTTGGTTGAGCGTTGAATATTGGCTAGAACGTTGGGAATAACTCCCTTCCTCAAAGGAAAGATCTCCCATATCCACCTGAGAATGTGGACAGGAACCCTCCGAGTGACATGTAGACAGTGTAGAGGTTGTTCTTCTAGGCATGTTGGAGAATGGTGTCAACACAGCACCAATAAGAACAAGGTCCAGTGAACTACAGGAGAGGAAGAGTCCACTTCTAGAGCTAAAGACTTGTCTGGCTGCCTTTTGTTGCATCAGGATGTGAGGGTCAGAAAGGGTTAACACTGGGGAATGTCTCCCGGGAAGAGGGTGTGATAAAGATCAGGCTGGATGGGGGAGCATCTCGAAGGCTCCAAAAAGATGAGGCCAGCAGACCTCCCCCAGTGGTGAGGAACAGCAGTGTGGATTTCTCACACAACTCCTGTCAGAGTGAAGATAACACAAAAGTAACTCCATGATATTGACACCAGGTGAGAACCTCACAAAGTTTCAACAGGATCATAGAATCAGTACAGTGTGGAAAGAGGCCATTCGAGTTCACACCAACCCTCCAAGGAGCACCCCCCCTAAACCCAAGCTCTGTAATTTCCCATGACTAACCCACCAAGCCTACCCATCCTTGGACACTATGGGCAACTTGGCATGGCCAAACCACCCTAACCTGTACATCTTGGGACTGCAGGAGGAAAAACTCCAATAGAATTGAACCCAGGTCCCTGGCGCTGTGAGGCAGCGGTGCTAACCACTGAGCCACCATCTGACTCAGGTCAACTCTGCACTGTCAATATTTACACCTGAGCTGATAGACTTGCTTGCTCAGAATCTGCCAATCGGTCGTCCTCAATGAGACACTGTGATGAGGAAACAAGCCAATGGCTTCGGGTTGTCTCACCACCATTCTACAGAGAGTGGCGGGTCGTTCTGGGAATGGTGCAGGGTAAGCTGGGGGTAGGACCAGACAAGACGGATGCTGATGGTTGGTGGTTAATGAGATGCGTTCGGTAAGATTTGGGCAGAAAGATGCTCCCAAAACAACCCAAAGCAACTCCCATTTCGCCAAAATAAACCCCCCCCCATCAGGTTCAGCCGCTGTGTTTATCTGTGACAACAAGAGGCACCTTCCTTCAAATGGGGAGGCAATGGCCTTTGTGCTGTTCTCATTGGGCTGTTAATCCAGAGACCCAGGTAATGTCCTGGTTCGAATCCTGCCACGGCAGAATATGGAATTTAAATTCAGCGAAGAACCTAGAATTAAGGATCTGACGGTGACAGAATCCATTGTCAATCTGGTTCACAAATGTCTTTTAGGGAAGGAAACTGCCATCCTTACCCGGTCTGGCCTACGTGTGACTTCAGACCCACAGCAATGTGGTTGACTCTTAACTGCCCTCTGGGCAATTAGGGGTGGGCAATAAATGCTGCCTAGCCAGCAACACTCTCATCCCGTGAGTGAATGAATAACAGTGGTGTAAATGTATTCAGTATTTGCTGATCATGCAGAAGGACAAATACATTTTTCCTTCATGCTGAACCTTCTGAAAGAAATATGGGGATGTACACTTCCAGGATGTGTCCTCAACCTTTCTGGCAGCTTGATGTTTTGCACCAGTTAATCTGATGAACGTCCCTGACTTTGTCACGTTGCCGTCACGAGTGTACTTGACATGGTTCGGGTGGCACACCATAAATTCTGGACTTGTTTGCAGTGTGCCCTCCGCAGTGCATGTATAAAAAGAAGACAGTTGTCAGACGACACCAGAAGACTGCAGTGACAAACCGAACAAGATACACCATGATCCCAGCCACCTTCAAGCTCTGCGCAGCCATCTCTTACCAGCACGTCCGCACTCTGACAGGTATGTGGGGAAAGTCACTGGCCCTGGCTGGTCAATGGGAACAGGCAGAAGTCTCAAACTCTGATCTGTGACCTTCCACGCATTGAGAAGCAAGCACAGATTTTCAAAGGAATTGGGGGATGAGTGTAGATTTTCAGTTGGCTTTTGTTTCAATGCACCTGGAGCTCAAGGGATTTTGACACCATGAAAAATTACCTGTGGCCTTTAAAAATAACGTACATTCGTTCTAATTAACCAGACGAAGAAAGCTCATTTGATTTTCCTTGCAAAAGGAGTGATGACTGCCAAATTAATTTCATCGTTGCTGCCAATACGGTCTGAGCATTTAATGTCATTGAAAAGCATGTGTGCTGCACCTATTAGTTGCTGGCCTATTGCAAGGACTCTGTGTGTCATTAAGTGCCATCAGTCCATTTCGGTGAGAACCTGCAATGCCTTGCACCTCTCGCCCTGACCAGACAGTTATCTGAGAAAGTCCCATCTGGCCTGGTCAACCGTTTTCCCCACATGTAGACCGGTGGGGTACAGCATCTTCCAACTGGAAAATAGCCCTGAACTTTCGTGAGAGAACACCCCTGAGCAACCCAAATCCTTCCAATTGTTTCACTGTCTCTGTCCCCTCTATCTTATTCAAGGAGTCACTCATGTAGGATAATGCCCCATAATGTGAAAGAAACCCTTGGGGTCTCAGTTGTGGCCCAGTGGGTGAAAGGGAACACAAGTGTTCCACTAACTTTGAATGTAGATGGTCAAGAAGTGACTCAATTTGAGGTCTCTGATACCAATGAGCAGTTCAGTTGGGGGGCAGCAGGGAGACAAGGGCACATTCTGCTACATCTGCCAGGGGAATTCAGAACAAGTGCACCCCTTTGAGTCCAGTCTCAGAGGGCAGCACGGTGGCTCAGTGGTTAGCACTGCTGCATCACAGCACCAGGGACCCGGGTTCGATTCCAGCCTCGGGTGACTGTGTGGAGTTTGCACATTCTCCCCGTGCCTGCGTGGGTTCTCTCCGGGTGCTCCGGTTTCTTCCCACAGTCCAAAGATGTGCAGGTTAGGTTGGATTGGCCATGCTAAATTGCCCATAGTGTCCAGGTTAGGTGGGTTAGCCATGGGAATTACAGGGATACTGTAGGGGGCTTGGCTGAGTCTGGACTGTATGGATTCTATGAACAAACGCTGTGGGCTCTCTGACACACATGGGACAGTGAAACTCTCCCAACCGCTATCTCCTTCCACCCTAGAAAAACTGTGGGTGCAGGGAGTCAATTAGAAATTTTACAAAGGACAGGAACACATTCACTCAGTTGGGAGGAATAGAGGTCAAAGACAGGAGCATGGAGCTAGAATACAGATCAGCCTCGATCTAAAATGGTGAAGAGACTTGAGTAGAAACATAGAAAGGATAAGCAAGAGTAGGCCATTTGGTCCTGCGAGCCTGTGCTACCATTCCATATGATCATAGCTGATTCTCTAGCTCATACTCTGACTATCACTTCTCCTGCATAGGACTAGTAGGTTCAAACATGGTTTATTTTGTTCAATCCCAGTTGGGATAACACTGTCCTTTAATATCCTCAGGAAAGGAAGGGCCTAGCATAAAACCACAGCTTACTGACTCACAGACAGACAGACACGTCCTGGTGGGATGTTGAGAAGTATTTGATCTGGCAATGCACTGTTCTGTAGACTGTATTCCTATTATCACTGCTTCAGGATCCAAGTGGCTGCAGGAAGCTAGCCCAAGGCTGGCACAGTGGACAAAGTTGCAATGTCCAGCCTGTGATAGTTTGAGCTCTAATAGATCTCGCTGAATCTTTGGTGTGTCAGAGTCTGAGCTTAAAGTCAGACCCTCTCCCTATGTTGGTCCCTTAGGTTTGAGACACACAGCTGTGGCAGCTCTCGGGCACAAACTCCATCAGCTCAGGCTTCAGAATCAAGGGCCCAGCTCCTGGGTCAGTCAGGTTCGCAGGAGGAGCTCCCTCATCAGTAAGTACTGCCTTTAGATCTTTTACACTTCACATTTTAAATGTGACTTCACCTTCTGCATTCATCTTAAATGTTTAACACAGATCAAATTGTCAAAGCTGTGAAAAACAGCGCATTCACACACTTTGCAGAATGAACAAATTAACATTCACTTTGTGGCAACATAGCTTTTGTTTCATTAACTCATGGACGTGGGCGTCGCTGGCTGGGCCCGGCATTTATTGCCCGTCCCTAGTTGCCCCTTGAGAAGGCGGTACTGAGCTGCCATCAGTCCTTGTGTTGTGGATAGACCCATGATTCTGTTCTGGAAGGAATTCCAGGATTTTCATCCAGCGACACTGAAGGAAAGGCGATGTATTTCCAAGTCAGGATGGGGAGTCAGGGATTGCATTTAGCCCAGAACAGAAAGGAGACCTTGTTCTCCTCAGGTAACAAAAGTGAACGGGGAGGGCACCGAAGATATCTTGAGGGGCTGGGGAAGACTGATACACAAATACTCAAATACACAAAAAGCACCAACACAGGTTTACAAAAGAAGAGTGAATCTCTGAGCTTGAACAACAATAGAACTGAGAGTAAGCGAAGCGAAGCTAAAATGTGGATGGAATGTTTGCTGGACTGCACTTGGAAGACCAAAGTTCTCTTCAAAAGAACAATCAGCTCACGGGATGTGAGAGGATTTGCAAGAGGCTGACAGCAGAATGGAGAAGTGACAGCGATCAGGAAAGGTTGAACAGGTTGAGGCAAAAGAGAAGACAAAGGGGTGGGTGACCGTAGAAATATCACAAGCCAGTTCTGAGAGGAAGGAATAGAAGGGTTTGCTGGCAGGGAGAGATGACGAGGAGTTAGAGGAGGCTCCCGTACATCAGCAGATGGGACGAATGGCCTCTTTCATTGTGGCATGTTTGCTGGCAATTATGGGGGGAGCTGTCTGATAGCAACTCAGCCCAGGGGCTCGAATAAGTAAGTTAGCAGTCTGAGTGAGAGGCTGTGATAGCTGTTTTCAGAGGGTGAGCAGATAAGGAAATACAGGGCACTGGGTGAAGACAATGGCAGGGGCAGAACTGGCAAAGAGCAGGTCTAAGCACAGTCAGCCTGGGCACCTCCTGGTGGCCCGTCCAAGTTGATCGTCACCCGTCCACTCCCACTGCCAGCCACGCCACCAGTGGTGGGGTCCCAAAAAGCCATGGGGAAAAGCAATCAGTTGGAAAATCTTAGCATCTGCCGGTCCACATTAGCATCAGAAAATGGAAGAAGCTGAATTGGTGGCTCAGTGCGAGGGAAGGGACTGAATTTCCCATTCTGGTACTCAGGTCTGATTCCAAAGCTGACTGTGTGCAGTGCCAGATTCTGGCAAGGCATGGCACCAATTGATGCTGCATTTGTGGATAATGCAAATGATACTGACATACATATTGTGATGAATGGTGCGTAATTTATATCTTAACATCATTTTCTGGAAGTTGGTTCCTTCTATTAAGGCCTCCCTCTGAAGAAAACAGTTACAGGTTTGAGTCATTCCACACCAATGACCTAAAGCCTGCATTTTCCCAAAAGGAGATGACTGCAGAACCCTCTTGTGTGAATGGGAAGATGTTGATATGGTTGACCACTGGAATAAACATCGGCTTCATTTTCAGTTCGGATGAATCTAGAATGGGCAAGTTTTTCTTTAAATTTCAGTTCACAAGGCACATGAGTTGAATTCGGAAGCAAGTTTCATTTTGCCCCAAGAAGGAATCCGAAGCAGTTCAGGAAATAAGGCACCTCAGCAGAAGGGTGTTCGGTTTGTGCAAGTTGCAAACCGGGAAAGTTTGGTCGGAAAGCTGTAGGTTTTAAGAACTGAGAAAGTTTAGGCTCTCAAATCGGTGAAAAAAAATTCACGGCGGCTGACTCGGAAAATTCCAGTGGAATTGTCTCTGCAGTCCACAGCAAAGGAACTGTCGGAAGTTAGTGAAATGGGTTGTGAAGAGTTGAGAAAGTGCTGTCACTTCTCTGGCCTTGAATGTCGGCAACAGGTAGCATCAGGAAACAGGTTGAAGCTTCGTTTTGCTGGGTGTTTTAGGACCATTCCACATTGAGATAGCTCGGTTCATATTTTCAAGCTATTTCAACATCTCCTCTGTTGCAAAAGCAAATCTGCAGTCTTGCATGACTGTGTTTCGGTGATTGATTAATGAACCGAGCAAGAAGGAAAAAAAATGATCCTTCAGGGAAGGTTTCATTCTGGGATCTGAGTTGCACAGTCGTAACATCAGCTGGGATCACAACAAAACACGAGGTGTTTCCAAAACCAAACAGATAAGGACAAAGCTAAAGAATTTGCAAAATAAAACGTGACCATGGGCTTTCAGTTATTTTGATTTACTTTTTATCGCTGCCGATACCCCTCCTCCTCTCTCGCGCCCTTAAATTAGGTTGCTGTCTTGAAGAGAAGCCGTATTCTGAGGCAGAAATGGCGTACATTAAACAGGCCGAGGAAGCCCTGCAGAAATCAATCTCCATTCTGCAGGACGGAAGCGGGTGGAAGTCCGAAATCGAAGCGGTAAGTTCTGTTGCCTTAGTCCTGTTTAGCCAAAGGCTTCCCCCACTTTAAAGAAGGACACAGTCCTGGTGGTGAGCTCATTGATATCGTTCAGTTAAATTGCTAAAAGTACAGGGAGTCAGCACAAAACAAGACCCTTCGTAGAATGACAGAAGTGTTACAGCACGGGACGAGGCCACTCAGCCCAGTGTCTCTGCCCCGGTTCAGTGCCAAGCTCCAGCCTTTTCCCTGTAATCCTGAGTGTTGTTTCCACTCATATCACCATCTGTTCTGCTCGCGCATCTCTCAGTTGAACCTGCCTTGCCTACACTCCCAGGCAGTGTACAGTCACTCACTGCGTGCAGCATCTGTTTCATTTGCGAGACCCTATAAAACCAAACCCTCTGGTTGTCCAATGGGAACGGTTTTTCTCTCTCCATCCAGGTTTGGAAATATCTATCAAGTCTCCCCTCAGCCTTCTCCTCTTCCAGGAAAACAGTCCCGACTTCTCCAATCCTTCCCCCTAAGACGAAGGGTCTCAAACCTGGATCCACATCCCTTTTCCGGATTCCTTCACTCCATTGCACTCCAACAGGGGTCAGGTCAGGCTGAAAGGAGTTTCACGTGATGCTGGGAAGAAGTTGATAAATGGAAGTGGTGGGAGCCCTTGCAGAGCGTAACCTCTGGCTCAGAATAGGTGCGTTCCTGAGCGGACGATCGCTGCAAAGTTGCCAGAATTCGATACGGAACTGCACTGTCTTCAACAAGCCCCTCGCAATCGCTGAGCAAATCCCATGGCTCAGGATCCTGGCACCGAGTCAGGAGATCAATGTGGTTGATCATCCTGCTCACACACGCCCACTAGTGATGATGCAAGACAAAGCTGGCATACAACTGTACCCTCCCCCCCACCACCCCCGCCACCCCCAAATCTCAGACTGGGATCGTAGAGACGTAAGACCATCAGAAATTAGGGTAGGAGTAGGCCGTTCGGCCCCTCGATCCTGCTGTGCCATTCATGGCTAATCCGACACTGTTCACATCCTCATGAGTATCTAACTGCCTGAGTCACCAGGCTCCAAACTTCCAGAGCCAATGTGATGTTGTTGTCAAACCATCTTTGCTCTCACAGTGCATGTTGATGGCTGAGGGAGCACATGTCTTTCTCACACGAAAGGCAGCCATAATCTACCCTGAAAGGCTTCCAGCAGCTGAAACGACTAGAGCTTTCCAGAATGAAACACATTCCGGGTGAGGTAAAGGCACCCAGGATATAGAACCAAGTCAGGTACAGAGAGGTTAAGGGTCAAGTCCATTCCCCGATTGAATTGTAGAGCACACAGGAGGCACAATGCGGCCTCTTCCTTTGCCTGTCTCCTCGAGTGAGCGATGAACTGAGCATTTTGAATCTTCAACAGGCCAACGGTGACAAAGTCGTCAGCAAAACACTTCCAGATATTGGCAAAGTCTTCAAGCTAGAGGTAGAGATGGACAATTCATTAGATCTGCTCTACAGTGAGCTGTTTGACAAGGTCGAACAGATGGGAGAGTGGAACCCAAACATTAAACAGGTGAAGGTAAGATGTTTCACAAGGGAGCCTTCAGCGTGTGCTTCAGACCCGGGGTTTTCAAACTGTGCCAAGACAAAAATAACCTCTAGGGTCAATATTCCCCAGGGCTGGAATTATTGCTGCAATTATTAAACCCACTTGATCCTTTGGTCACTTGCAAAACAAAGTTTCACGCAGTTTAACGCAATTTCAGTGAGTGATTTGAACCAGGGCTTTGAGCACGAAATCCAGGCTAACACTTGCATGCATGACTGAGGGAGTGCAGCACTGTCTGAGGTGCACATTTCAGGTAACACATTCATCTGAGGCCCCACCTGATTGGGTGGATCTCACGGATCTGATGGCTGCCATTTCTAAGGAGAGATGGGAGTTCTCACAGTGTCCAGGCCAACACTGATCCCTCAATTGAAGCACAAAAATGAGTTTCAGGTAGATTCCACCTTCACATCACCACTGCAGTAACACTGCAGGGCCAGTTGTGCATTGCAGCTGGAGCACAGTCACAATTGGGGATTGGAGGATTAAGATTTAGATTTTTTTATTGTCACATGTACTCAAGTACAAGAGTACAGTGAAAAGTGTCTCATGTCACCATCTTACGTACAAAGGTACCAAGGTACAAAAAAAATTAGGTACAAAGTATTAAAAGCAACAAAGTTAAAAAGTTAAGCATTACCTTCATAGAATAAGTATAAAAATAAAGATATAAGATCATGGTTAAACCTTAAAGTCCTTCTTAATTTAAATTGGAAAAATTGAAGGAATAAAGTTAGAAGTTCAAAAACTGAAGTTGCTGGAAAAGCTCAGCAGGTCTGGCAGCATCTGTGAAGAAAAAAATCAGAGTTAACGTTTCGGGTCTGGTGACCCTTCCTCAGAACTGGAGTTAAAAGTTCAGCAGTCTTTGAAGAGTCCTTCACTTAGGTCACTCTCCAGGAGACCTCAGTTGATCGGGCACTAACAGCGATAGCCAACTCCTGAGAGTGGATTTTATAACTTTTCAAAAAGGTGTGCTTTCACTAGTTATTTTTATTCTGGCACCTGATGCATGCAGTGCCCCATCAACACTGTTGTGCAGGGGGAATCGTCCTCAATGCTGACCCACTGTCATGCCTGGGGGTTGTTTTTGAAAGTTGGAACAATAGAAGCAGTCTGGCTGGGCGTGGCCAGCTCTTACAGACCAGGATTTCTCATCTTTTTTTTCAGGTTTTAGTTTTAGTTTTAAGCAGTCACTGTTGTGAGCTTGAAGAAGCTTTCTTTTCCCTCTCTCAGTTACAGCAAGATGCTTGGGTTTCTCTCTGCTGCTGGGTGACATGTGAGACAAATCTATCTGAATGTGCCTTTTTGCCAAGGGGTGTGTTTATGGGATGTTACTATATTGGAACAGTTAATTAGTAATAGTTACTGTATCTGTTATTCTGTTAAGTTTTCCAACAGAGTTAGGTTATTCCAAATACTTATTTTTTTGTTTGTGCTTTAAAATGGTGTTTCGCTTCACATCGAGTAGTTTGTCAAGTTGTAATTCATATTTGCCTTGAAAATAAGAAAATGTTAGCTACCTTCTTAAAATTGCTTGAGGGGGTCTGCTCCATAATAGATGAAGTAGATAGGGAGACACTTTAAAAGAGAGGAGGGGGCACAGTGATGAGGGGAGACAAGAATTTACCGAACAGAGTGAGTTATTCTGATCCAAAATGGTCAGTCTCAAAGAGCATTGAAGGCAAATTCAACTTACAGAAAGGAACTGGATCGATACTTAAAGGGGAAAGTCCTCAGAGCACTGGGGAAAGACCGAGGAGAATGGGATAGCTGTTCCAAAAGAGCAGATGATGGGCTGAACAGCCTCCAGAGTCCTGCATGATGCTTGATTCCCTCAGGCAGGACTTGAGTTTTTAACTCCAATCCAAATTCTAAGTCTTATTTCATCCCCTGCTTGTCTCTGTCTGCCTGTCTGTCTCCATGAGCTCTCTGTACTGGAGAAAGAAACATATTTTTCTTCACCCCCCAGATCCTGAAAAAGATCAACCAGGAAACGATGCTGACTCATGAGGTTTCCACGGAGACAGCAGGCAACCTCATCAGCCCCAGGGACTTTGTGAGCGTGCGCTACGCCAAGAGACGAGGCTCAACCTGTTTCCTGGCTGGGATGTCCACCCATTGTGACATGATGCCCGAGCAAAATGGCATCGTCAGGTAACATTCACTCCTGAAACCAAGGCCTCTGCCAGCTCCCAGGACACTGGCAAACATTGGGAAGCCCCGTCGTAACTGCATGAAACAGATAACAGTCCTTTAAGGGGGAGTGCAGGAAAAAGACCCAGTTTGTCAAAGCCTTTGGTCTGGCGCTCATCAGGCCCATTGACAGGAAATAGAGGGAAGTAACATTTATGCTGCAAGAGATGAGAGTGCTGATTGGTTGGCAAGTGGGCACTGATTGGTTGAGGCATTGCCATGGAGATTACACTTGCCCTCTCACACCATCTGAAGTGTTGCTCCCCGTCTCACTGGTATTCTCACCAAATGCTCTCATGGGTCTAAACCCTCCGGTGAGGCAGGTTCATGGACAGTCAAGCAGCCAATGTTATCCTCGGTGTCAGATTTACCACCTTCAAAGTCTCCAGTCTTGTTGTAAAGTTGTGTGAAACCATCAAACTGTTCCAGTTCAGTCAGGAATCGATCAGCTCCTGCCCAGTCGATAACACTGTGAGTCATGGTGCACAAACCGACCCTATCTCACACCCCACAAATCCGTTTTTTCTGATATTGTTGGGATATCCAGATGAATAGCTTCAATATTTTGGCTCACAAGTGAATGTATTAGTACAGTACAATCGTAGAATTATATGATGAGGCCCTATCGCCCATCAAACCTGTGCCGACCTATCAACACTAATCCCACTGGGCTCATAGCCGCGAATTTGTACACTTCAGGTTCTCATCCAGTTACTTGTTAAAAGTTGTGAAGCTACGTGCCTCAATGACCCTCCCAGGCAACGCACAATCTGAGAGGAAAAGCCTTTCCTCGTCTTCCCTCTCAACCTCCTGCCTTTCACTTTAAAACTGCGCTCCGTTGTCATTCGCCTTTCCACTGAGGGGAACAGCTGCTTTCTATTCAGCCTCTCCATGCCCCTCATTATCTTCTGCATCTCGATCAGATCACCCCTCAACCTTCTCCACTCCAAAGAGCTTTTCCAGCCTCTCTCCCTTGCTGAAATGCTCCATGCCACGCAGCATCCTGGCGAAGCTCCTCTGCGACCCCGCCCAGTGCAATGACATTCTTCCTATCATATGGTGACCAGAACTGTACACAGTACTCCAGCCCAACCAAAGTCCTGTACAGCTCCAAGCTTAGCTTCTTGACCTTATAATGTATGCCTCGACTGACAAAGGCATGTCCCTGTTATGCCTTACTGATTTCCTGACTGGTTGGTGAAAATTGTGTTCAAGGCACCAAACTAAGGTGATCTATGCTGTGTCACGCAGATGTGTGGACATTCTTGGCAAACACACTGTTGGTATCAGACAGTGGTGACAGCATTTGAAAATGGTAGCTGCCCACACTCACAGCTCCCTTTTGGATTTGGTTTAAACATTATCACGAATGTTTGGAGAATTTGTCATGGCTTGAAAGTTCAAATTGTACATCAACACCTGCAGTCACATTTACTGGCAGTAAACATGGAGCAGATTGTTTCAGGACTTTCGGCAATAGTCCTTCAAGAGAGCTTCAGAAGAACTGACTCCATATTTGTAGCTCAATTCCTCACTAAGACATCATTGAACTGCAACAAGTACCATGAGATGACAATTGCATCTCAGTCTCTGCAATGTTTCTCTGCTGCTTGTTTCTATTCCTGACAGATGGGCTGGTGTTGCCAGGTTAATCCATGGGTTCTCGAGTCAGGAAGGTGCCTGACTGCTTGTGCATTTCAGCTTCAGAAGCAGCTTCTGCAGAGTTGCTGTCGTTTCAGCTGGCTGTATCCTCACTCACTGCACGTCCTATTCACTCCGTCCTTGCTGAGCTCACTCTGCGACAATATCTCAATTTAAAACTAACACATCATCTTCACCTCGCTCTAATCATCTCCAGCCCTACGACTCTCACAGACCTCTGCACTCCTCCCGATAATCTCACTCTGATTTCCTGATGGCCATGCCTATAGCTGCCTGGGAGCTAACCCATGTTCTGTTTGTGCATGGCCATCCAGCACCCCATCATCTTCCAATACGACCTATGCTCTGCCTTAAATATACCACTTGGCCAGCTCAGACATCCATAAAGGCACAACAAAAACTGCAAGCAACATTGGCCCAAACCTTTGGAGTTGCCTTCTCTCCATCTCTGTCCCTCTCTACAAATTTAAAATACTCCTGAAAACCAAACAGTTCAAACAAATGTAGCATTGGCTATCTTGTCTCTACATTGCAGAGGCTCAGCACCAGCTCTCAGATACCTCCTCATATCTTCCCCTGGACCATGACCCCACCATGACACATCAGACCATTGTATCAACTACGGTTACTAACTTCATCTCATCTGGTGATCTCCCCCTGCCACTGATAGTCCCCCAGCCCCACACAGCTCACTTTTAACTCCTTCCAATAATCCGCAAACAGGACTGCCCAGGCAGACCCATTGTTTCAGCCTGCTCCTCATCTGTTCCCACCTTGACTCAGTCTTCTCTCCCTGGTCCAATCCCCACCCACGTACATCCATGATTCCTCTGACGCTTTACACCAGTTTCAAAATTTCCAGTTTGCAGGCTCCAGCCGCCTCCTCTTTACCATGGACATGCAAACCCTTTACACATCCATCCCCCACAAGGAGGGTCTCAGGGGTCCCCTCTTCTTCCTGGAGCAAAAGCCTGAACCATCCCCACCCACCACCACATTCCTCCGCTTGGCTGAGCTCGTCCTCACCCTCAACAACTTCTCTTTTAACTCCTCTCATTTTCTTCAGGTAAGAGGGGTTGCCGTGGGTATCCGCATGGGCCCTAGTTATGCCTGTCTCTTCATGGGGTACGTGGAACATTCCTTGTTCCAGTCCTATTCTGGCCCCCACCCACAACTCTTTCTCTGATACATCGATGATACCATCGGTGCTGCTTTCCCCTCTCATCCAGAATTGAAAATGGAAATCGATTTTGCTTCCAATTTCCACCCTGCCCTCACTTTCACCTGGTCTATCTCTGACTCCTCCCTTCCCTTCCTTGACATTTCTGTTTCCATTTCTGGGGATAGACTGGCCACTACTATCCACAACAAACCCACTGACTCCCACAGCTATCTGAATGATACATCCTCACACCCCACTTCCTGTAAAGACTCCAACCCATTCTCTCAGTTCCTCCGTCTCCGTCGCATATGTTCAGATGAGGCCAACTTCGACAAAGGAACCTCCGAAATGTCCACCTTCTTCCTCAACCGAGGATTCCCCATCTCCGTGGTAGACAGGGCCCTCAACCAGGTCCGACCCATCTTCTGCACTTCCACCCTCACCCCTTCTCTTCCCTCCCGCAACAGCGATAGGGTTCCCCTTATCCTCACTTACCATTCCACCAGCATCCACATCCAGGAGATCATCAGACACTATTTTGCCACTTCTAGCGAGACGCCACCACCAGAGTCATATTCCGCCCCCCCCTTTCTCTGCCTTCCGCAGAGACCGTTCCCTCCGGGACACCCTGGTCCACACTTCCTTCACCCCCAACACCCCCCCATAGCCCCACGGCACCTTCCCCAACAACCCTTTACCTCCTCCCTCCCCAGTATCGAAGGGCCCAAACATATCTTCCAGGTGAAGCAACACTTCACCTGTACGTCCTGGAATCTAGTCTACTGCATTCGCTGCTCACAACATGGTCTCCTCTACATTGGGGAACCAAGCATAGACTGGGTGACCACTTTGCAGAACGCCTACATTCTGTCCACAGAAAAGACCCTGAGCTTCCAGTTGCCTGCCACTTCAACACACCACCCTGTTCCCTGGCCAACATCTCTGTCTCTGGCTTGTTGCAGTGTTCCACGAAGCTCAATGCAAGCTGGAGGAACAACACCTCATTTTCCACTTGGGGACCCTACAGCCCTCCGGACTCAATATCGAGTTCAATAATTTTAGGACCTAAACTCTCCCATGTTCTAGCCTCCTATCCCACACACCAGGCCTTGTTACCACACAGCCTGCCATTACATACTACCTACTGTTAGTCACTAACAGTCCCTATTAACAGCTATTCACCCTCCTAGCCAGTTCATTATCAACACCTTTGTCTATCCAACTGTTCTTCTCTCTCTTTGGGCTCTGTCCTTTACCCTCTCATTTACTCCCTACCCCATTCCCCCTCCCTATCTTCTAAATGTAAACCAACCATCAGTTCTGAGGAAGGGTCACCGGACGGAAACGTTAAATCTGTTTCTTTTTCTTCACAGATGCTGCCAGACCTGCTGAGCTTTTCCAGCAACTTCTTTAATTCTTTAGGAATGTTTCAGTGCATTGAGGAAGCAATATGAATGTACATTGCCAGCTTTAGGTGACATCAAGGCTTCATATCTTAGACCTGATGCAGTGTCGAAGGAAAGAGCGTGTACAAGTCCTTATTCTTAATTCGGGCCAGTGCTTGTCCTGCTACAATCTATTCCCACACATTCTATTGCCACAAGGCTTGTTTGCCATTGTTCCCTGGCTGAGGGACTTTGTGGCTTTGTTTATCCAATGATGAGGACTCATGGGGGAGGCAGGGCAGTGATCTGAACATTTCCTTTTCTGTTGGCTGTTTCTTTTATTTCTGCTTCTGTTTTTAATCCTGGCTTTTGTGTACAAGAAGGCACCAGAGAAAGATGACTTTGTACACTTTTCACTGTACTCAAGTATACATGACAGCAAAGTCTTAATCTCGAAAAAGATGTTGGTTACTTTTTGAAATGCAGGAAGAGTTTGCTAACTTTAGCTTGTTGTGCTTGCAGGGCTGAGAGTGGGCCCACTTGTATCGTCCTCCGCCCCTCTGCTGAAGATCCAAACAAGACCAGGTTCACATGGCTACTGAGCATTGACCTGAAGGTAAGTCACCTCAGGGTGACACACTGTAGCTATTGAATGGAGCACCCCAGTGCAGACATTTTATCTCTCCAAGAGCTGACTCATGGGTGGGAACAAGAGATCCACAGGGGCTTGACGTAAATAATATGATTTTCTGAATGGCCGTTGAATTAATCAAGGCACAAGGTTCTGTTATTAAACTAATCATTCATGAAATATTAGTAATTGACATTCCAAAGGTCTACACAGACTCGAAACAAGAATTTTAAAAATCACAAGCTTAATTGTTGAAGCCACATCAAAACACTGGAAAGAACTTAAACAACAATTCACGCCTGGGCCATTTCTCACTGTGTGAGATGGCTGAGGAGCTGGATCTCCCTCTGCGGTAGATTTTGAGAGTTTCATCTTGAGGAGATGTTGCACAAACATGACTTCTGTTTCCCTTGAAGGTCAGGAGATTTTTGGGTGATCTGATTGAGTCTGTTCAGCTTTTAAGATGATTTGATACGATCAATACAGAGAAACTATCTGCTCAGGACGGTGGAATAAAATCGCAACAGAGTGTGATTTTAAATCCAGAGCTGGTCATTCAAGAATAAAATTGAGATTCATTTTTTTCCAATTGGAAAGGGGCAGAAGTCAGGAGCTCTACCTAAAAAAAAATGTCTTTGGACAATCGTAACTTACCAGACCAAACCATATTTGCACAGATCAAAGTATCAGAGAATATAGAGGAAAGATGATTAAATGGAGTTGATGCACACAGTAACCATGAATGGCCTCTCCTTGTTTGTAAAATGGTTTCCCAATATCAAACGTCATCTGGACTTCCTTCGACCTTTCATCGAAAGTCAATCAATTTCTCAAAAGATTTAGAGGAACATTGAGTATTAGCTACCACACCTCGCTGCTGACTCATGGCAGCATCACTTTCTATCTCATCTTGTGAAGTTGCCCACTCATGCCCAATTTCAGGGCAGTTTTACAACATTCCATTTATCGCGGAGAGTAAGACTCTCATCAGTTCCCACCCAGCCCCACCCCTGTTCTGGCATTTGGCACCCATCCCTAATTTCCCCTTCAAGGAGACAATGTTGACCTACATTCTTTGAAGGTGCACCCAAGGTGTCAGGAAGTGGGGAGCTGCAGGAATTTAGCCCAGTCACCACGAGGAGACAGTCACCGACCGGGTGTCCCTGTATCTCCTGCTCCGATTTTGCTCCCTGTTGGAAGTGACCGGGTTTTTTTTTCGTACCAGTGAAGCAGCCTCAGTCACAGGTCAGAAACATTACAGCTTGCGGCTGGTACTGGATGGATCATTGATCTTAAAAAATAATCAAGGAAGATGGGGTTTGTGAGAGGGGAGATTTAATTTGTGGCTTGCTTTGGGAGGTCGAAATAGATTCACCAGTAACTGTCAAGAGGAACCCGGATAAACACTTGAAGCAGAGACAGAGGCAGGGCCATGGGGAGAAAGCAGGCGAGCAGAATGAACCTTCTGGCTGACAGTGCTGTCCAATTCGAAGAGAGAGAGAGAAAGGCAGGTGAGGGAGAGAGGCAGGCTAGGCACTGGCATTCAAACAATTGAGGCACCTTTTGTCACCGTCTGGGTTCAATGTTCCATCTGACTGATGAAAAGACCTTCTGTTTCCTTGTTTCAGGGCTGGTTGCCAAAGTCTCTCATTGACCAGGTTCTCTCCCAATCCCAAGCTGACTTCGCCCAACATCTCCGCCGTCACCTGGATTCCAACAGTGCTGTCTGCAGCTGCTGAAACCACCGACATTACCTGCTCTCCTCCCCCCCACGCCAGGGTGGGGAAATCTCAGGCAACATTCCACTTTTCTGAAAGACTTCTCTTTAAAATCTCCATGTCTTTGTGCTTGGATGAGGAACTCTACATTCCATGGTCTTCATTTGTGATCGTCTTGTGAATGGAATTTTTCAACCTGTTCCAATTTTAAACCTTCACAACAATCAGTCTTGGATCGATGTAGTTATTCAAAGCTGTGGTGTGCATTATTTTTAAAGGGAAAATTTCCAAGGGTTATGTGCGAGCTGGGAACTAGCCCCTCTGCCTCCCCAGCCTGTTCCGCCATTCAGTAAGCCAATTTGACAGCCCAATGTTCCAGCCTGCCCCTGACAACTTATCACCCCTTTCGCTGAGTGAGAATTTACCTCGACCTTAAAACAAAATACTCAATGGCTCTGCTGGGCCTACCTGTTGAGATGCTGCAAGGGTTCCCTGTGTGGAGAAAATTATCTTCATTGCTGTTTAGAATGGTGACCCCTCATTTTTAAACTTTAAATCCCTCATTGTAGAGTCTCCCACAAGATGACATGTTTTCTCCCAATCCATTCTGTATGCTCCATCAATTATATTTTCGAATATGGCGGCGGTGGGGGCACTGTGGCTCGGTAGTTAGCACTGCTGCCTCACAGCACGAGGGACCTGGCTTTGATTCCACCCTCAGGTGACTGGTTTCCACCCACAGTCCAAGACATGCAGGTGAGGTGAAAGGGCCATGCTACATCGCCCATGGTGTCCAGGGATGTGCAGGTTGGGTGGGTTAGGCGTTGGGAACTCAGGGTTACAGGGATAGGGTGGGCCTGAGTGGGATGCTATTTGGAGGGTTTGTGTGGACTTGATGGGCCAAATGGCCTGCTTTCTATGATTTTATGTTTTCTTCCTTCCTGCTTTACTCCAGACTCCTGCAACTATCTTCTCCGTGAACTACACCAGTCCCCCTGGGGATGGGGTCCCAGCTAAGAATGCCCATTCTCTGGACCCCAAGTTGTCGTGGACTTCTGCCCCATTTAAAAACAAGACCCACGCTGGCCAGAGACGGAGAGCAGAAACTGTAAAACCGTTGAAAAGGTTTTGATGCTATTGGCGAAGGGATGGCCTCATGTCACATCCTAGAAAGGGCTCCACGACAAACCCTGGGTCCTCTCTCGCTGCAGTGGTGCCTTGAATCTAAATCAGTGGTGACCCCCTGTGGTTCAGTGATACAGAGAGACTTTGGCTGAATCAACTGCTGAACTCTCTGGCTAACGAGAGCTTGATCTAGGGCTGTGGGGCTAAACAATTCATATCGTTCACCTGCTTTGCCCCCGATCTCCCTAACATCATGTTTCCCAGCAACGCTGAACCCAGACCAACACAGGAATAAAGGTCTGCGGATGTCCTCCTCACATCCCTCAACAAAGCCAAAACCCAAGCCACAAACTGACAGTGTGACACAGTACCAGTGCACAGCCAGCACTGTTGTCTCACTCAAAGACGTCCCTTCCTTATTCAGCTGCCAGCAACCTCCTCAGTTCTACACACTCCTTCCTCTCTCAATGCTTTGTAAACTATGTTCTTTATTCACTCAATGGATGAAGGCTTCTCTGGCTAGGTCATCGCCCATTGCTAATTGCCCAGAGGACATTGCTGTGGGTCTGGAGTCACATGTAGGCCAGACCAGGTAAGGATGGCTGTTTCCTTCCCCAAAGGACATTCGTGAACCAGATGGGTTTTTCTGACAATTGACAATGGAGTCATGGTCATCATTAGACTCTTCATTCCAGATTTTTTTTAAATTGAATTCCAATACCTGCCATGGCAGGATTCAAACCCAGGACCCCAGAATGTTACCCGAGTCTCTGGATTAACATTCCAGGGACAATATCACTAGGTATGTGCTGACTTAGACACGCCTTCTGCCCATCACTTGGGTAACTGCAGCTTCAAAGAGGTTTTCTTGTGAAAAGACTGGTCAGCTGTTCTAACGGTGACAAAACGACAGACTCTGAGTAAAGGGAGTTGTGATACACACTGGCCAGCATAGATTCCACCTCCTTCCCAAAAGGATGGATGGCCAGCATGTCGAGAATTTGAACAGGCCAGCACAGGTATATTTTTTCACATCTTGCAAGGATGAGAGGCCTCCTCTGACCTTTGCAGGACAAGCCAAAGGCAGATGCCAACCAAAAGCCTCAGAAGGAAATACAGTCCCATCTGCTCCAGTCCACAACCAGGTCAACTCAAATGCAGAGGATCACTGACGTCAAAGTGATAACATGCAGCAACACAAAGCTCCCGCAGAATTTACCGCATAGAAACAGGCCATTCAGCCCAAGTACTCTCTGCGAGCATTCAAGCCTCATCCCATCGCACATCATTTCACCCCCTCGAACCGTGTTTAAGGTATATTCCAATCATGAGCTTGTGACCTGAAAAACTCCCAAATGCAAATGATCTGTATCTGCAAAATTGGTAGGTTGCCTGCTTAGAGACCCTTCCTTCGATGAGTGTGGTGTGGTGTGGTCTGGGCTTTGCACTGTGTACATATATTAAAAAATATATAATATATAGATTCTAATCCTTGTATTTAAAATTGAAAATGCACAGTACTATTTTCTTTGTTATTTATTGTTCTTAAAATTGCTCGGGAATAAATATACTACACAGACAATACTTTTCAATTTGTATTTATCACACACTTTAAGTAAAGTTGCATGTTGAGACCATGAAAATCTTTCTGAAAATGAACTGATGATGGAGTAGAGCAGAGAAACACTGACCATTGGGACTATGACTAAATATCACACATCTGCAGCCTTCTTGCAGTGTTGCTGAAATTAGAGGGGGAGGCAGCAAATGGAGTTTTTGAATTAACTCTTTAAGGAGACATAGCATCACGGGCAAAGCCCACATTTGTTACCGTCACAAATTGCACTGGAGAAGGTTGTGGTGAACACTGCAGTCCTTGGGAGTGTAGGACACCCACAGTTGGTAGTGAAAGAGTTGCAGGATTGTGGAGGGGAATTTGCAGGAGTGGTGTTCCCATGTTGCCCTTGCCCTTGTCGATGGAAGTGGTCGTGGGTTAGGCAGTTACTAAGGCTCTTTGATGAATTCATCATGTGTCTGCTGCCTTCATTCTTTCAGGTGGTAGAAGTTACAGGTTTGGAAGGTATTGCCAAAGGCACATGGGTGGGTTCGTGCACTGCCTTTTGTGGATAGTACACACTGCTGCAACTGAGGGGTGGCGCTGGATGGAGTCCGTCAAGCGGGTAGCTTTATCCTGGAGGGTGTCGAGCTTCTTGAGTTGTTGTTGAAGCTGCACTCATCCAGGCAAGTGGTGAGTATTCCATCACACTCCTGACTTGTAGATGTCCAAGAACGGATGAAGCACAGACAGAACACAAGAACATACTGAGACGGGTGAAGGGCAAGACTGAGGGGAACAAGTGCTCCCAGACAGCAGCTGGTACAGCTAATGAAGGGGTAATGGAGGAGGTCGGAAGAGATGCATCAAGAACAAACACATTTTGGGATCACCCATCAGAACATAGAACAGTACAGCTCAGGAACAGGCCCTTCAGCCCACCATGTGTGTACTGACCATGATGCCATTCAAAACTAATCCCATCTGCCTTCGCAATGTCTGTGTCCCTCTGTTCCCTGCCTGTTCATGTGTCTTTAATGTTGCTGTCCTTCTCTCTTCTTGCCCAAGATGTTTTCCTTTTACTTTCCTCAAAACACTGGTGATAGCTGGGGTCATGTTCTGAAGCTAACCCTCTGCCAGCTCAGCCAAATATCCACTATTCATTTGCACCATCATCTTTAGAGGGACCGGGTACAAATTGAACACAAACAAGCACTTTCCATTTGGGGCGAGCTGAACACAACCGTCAACAGCATTGACCTGCACCACCATGGCCTAACAATAGAGTTGATGGAGATCAGTGCAGGAATTAAACCGGATATGATTCTGTTCGAAATTGGGCAATTAGCTCACCCTTCATTTTGATGGTTGACCGCGTTAAACCAAAGCTGAACCTCTAATTCAGTTGCCCCTTACTTTCCAGGCCTTGATCTCTCTTGAGGCATCAATGGGACCTCACTCAAATCAACCTCTCAGCTTCAGATCAGACACAGGCTCCCCCATCAAGTGTCCCACACCACTTCGAATCCTCCAGGCATGAAGCAGACTATTGTAACTCAACACAACCTGTAAACTGCACACTCCCCAAAAACAAGACCCACACAATCTCTGACCATCAACTGTCTAAGCATCAGGATCTTCTGGCCCTGACTCAAAGATTGTTACCGACAGTGAAGGAATTTACTTGTCAGAGTTTTGGGCTGGCCAAAACTTACTCCTCTCCACTGCGGGAAAGGTGCCCTCTGTTGAAATTGGAAGTTATTCTTAGACATTTGGCTTGTGTCTATACATCAGACCTAACACGGACAGCAATAAATTATTCACTGCAAGATATACAAGCACACAACATCCTCAGAACAAGATCACGCTACAGGTTAAAAATACTAGCTTGATTTATTTGCAGATGAAATGCACAAATTCAATCCTCGAGTCTGAGCATCCTGACTTCAAATGGTGTCAAGGCTTATCGTGACCACTGCCAATCAATTTCTCTGCCCCTTTGCAATATCATTCTTCCAAATTCCAATTGGTTGATCCTCTCCCCAAACTTTTCTTTCATTTTGTAGATTATATGGAAGAAGAGATGATAGAAAAACATAGCTAAGTCCCAAATACCTTTGAGAAAGGGAAAGCAGATAAACTCAATTCCCACACAATCCATGTTGAAACTGCTATCGTATGTAGAAATGAAGCATGAAATGGATTTGCAGGTAGACAGAACAGTGAAGACGGCATTTGGTTTACTTGCCTTTATTGGTCAGTCCATCGAGTAGAAAAGTTGGAAAGTCATGTTACGACTGTACAGGATATTGGTTAGGCCACTTTTGAAATACTGCATACA